CTATCGCAATGTTTTGCGCCTCTCTTTGAAAGGATACCGCACACTTTAATAGGGAAAGTGGCCCCCTGTCGAATTGGCTGAATTTTTGGAATGTTATAGTCCAAGTCATTCCAAACAAAAAGTTCAATGGGCACAACTTTTTCTATAGGCTAGTTTTGGCGCATATGCCTCTGGGCTCTTTCAGGTGAAGTTGAGCACGTCCCATTGCTGGGGAAAAAATCTCGAAATTTGAGGATATTTCAGGAGATTAGTATAAGTGAAATTGATGAAAACTCATTCTGACATGATATTGCTTGAGCTATATGTAGTGCAACATTACAATATTCCGATGTATTGAAACTGACACATGGTACTTTCGACAATTTATTTTCTGTCCTGATTCACAAAAAACAACATCCACCAAATGGATCCTTTGAAAGTTGTATCGAATTTGTTGTATTAAAAGTTATAACTCATCACCTTGGTTGCCGAAACAACCTCTGAAGCCCTCTAATGGGTATATTTCGACACATTCTTGAAAATTTTTTTTTCGGAGTCTTCGTGGGAGTAGGTATGGTAGTTTCTATAGATTGGTGTACCCACTAAACACACCACCCCCTTTCGAGGCTGTTCTGAGAAACTTGCCATTGTATCTTACTTTAAATTTGCCGCTATTGATTCCACCATATATCCAACCCTTGTTCTTTGATGAGGCTTACTTACAAATACTCGCTGAGACCGCGTCACAGTACCAGAGATTCGTTTGAAAGATACTGAAGACTACTCTTCCAAGCGCTGTTCTCATCCACAGCTTTATCCCTGTGGTGCCTCCGCACAAAACTAAAGCTGTTTACTCTGAGATTCCACTCTGTCTGTAACGACATTCACTTCTGAGGCCCTTACTTTGGTTTGGCGCTTGTTCGGACAGAGACTACTCTCTAGTATTTGACGGGGGGGGGGGGGAGGTCTCAAGCGCCAGATTGTTTATGAGGTGGTTTATTCCACCTGCTCTGCACAAAGCTATTTTTGTACAGGGGCCCAAAGTAGCAACAGTGGAGACAGGCACAGGAGGTATACCTACCTCGGTACCTACAGTATAAACCAGGTGTCAATGTTATTGAATCGACTTGAAATCATGAAGCCGCGGGAATGTAGGGTTCAATCACAAACCCTGGGTTCAGCCGGGAATACTGGTTGCTATTCTCATGCTGGATAATTACAGGAAACAAAGCAAATATCTTTGTCGAAAACGGGTCTCTGGTATTTTTATGTTAGTTTTATGTTAGGTCTGGAAAATTATTTATTCAAACTATTTCATTAAAGTACCTGGCGGATCGGAAACACATTGCCAAACGAATTAAACAGATTGAATTCATATCCATCTTTCCTTCTCTTTGAATTATCTTATTCTTCAAAATCGGAATTTTAGTGAGGTTAAATATATTTTTCTGTCCATGTCAAAATTTAATTAACCACCGGCCACAGCCGGTCAGGATACCTAGCACAGGGACACGGGTACACAGGACAGGCTTTCTCAAGGAAAAGAAGAAGAAAAAGAATTGACAGCTGACTATGTCAGTGTCAGCCGTCACCGTCACTCAATAATAATAATCAGTAATTTGACGAATGCAAATATTGAAAATCATTAAATAAATTATTGGAACTATTCGGAACTGAAAACAATGACAACAGAGAAAGAAATATGAAATGTGCAAAAAACACGTTTATTCGCAAATACAAATTTCTGGGTTCGTTACACAGGTCGGGTGAGTATCGGTATGAAAAACAACAGGAATAAAATGACTCTATAAATTGAATAATGATGGTGAAAAATATTATACAAACTCACATGTGCAACACGGAATCACTATACATTGATACTTTGCACTGGCTTTGAATGAACTATGAGAGCACCAAGAGATCAGCAAGAGAACCATGAGAGACACAGGTGAAGAGGAGAGTGTCTAGCGTAGATGATAGACTAGTAGAGCAGAGAATGGAGTATAGATCGATCCCTTAGCTGTATTCAGTATTTATATTCCCCTTCGACTCCGGTACAAGGACAGCTCGATCCTAGTTTCTTATTGGTCGGAATCCTCAACTATGCCTACAGGAACTAGCATCCAAAAGCACATGTTCCTAAACTCACAAGAATGCGGAAGAACTTATATTCAACCCTGAATGGGCACAGGAACAGAATCTACTGCCCTTGCTAATGCTACTGAATGAATTTGTCTGGAAAATATCCAATAACAAAAAAGTTATGACCAGGTTAACATCCATCATTTCAACTGATAAATAATTCATCCAAATTTCATATCATAAGCAAAGGGTTGAAAAATTAAGTCTTTAGGGTTGTTATAATGGTCATCAGATTTCACTGTCAGGAAAAGCTTTAGAAAGTCAGGAATCAATGACTTACTCAGCTCTCTCAGGTTTTCAGGTTTCGAACAAATGAAATTTAACTAGAATCAGTCTCAGGTACTTAGATATTTATCAAAACTAATCTAGTAATGGAGCTGGTTCAAAAACACTTCATTAAATATCTTCCAGACTCGTTAATAATCACACCATAACATCTTGGTACCATTCATCCATCGTCTCAAGTAAGTTCCTACAGATTTACAGCTTAAAGTACCTACTCAGCTGTCTGCAAATTGTCCTATCTTTGACCACAGACTGTCTCTTCTGCGATTCAAGAACAAAGAAGTCCTGAAAATGATTCATCTGTTGAGTGACGAAGCCTGTCCTTCCGCCACACAGAAAGAGACGATAAATTTAAACGGATTTATCCGGCTCAGGTACCTCTGGTTCACCATTCCAATGCTCACAAATTGTGAGCCCCTGAAAACGAATCCTAGAGGATCGCAAAAGTCTATGGTTGAATGAGGTTAAACAAAATATATTGAGCCTTTCAAAACAAATTTATAATATGTATTCAGCTGTTTCGTCTTCTACACAGCAGAAGCGACAGTCAGTTTGTTGGTTCATTTCTAGTTGGTATCTTAGTCGACAGTGACCTGGTAAGCATTTGAGTAGTCTTGTCAGAATTATTCTTACTCCACTCTATGATCCGATCTTGGTCGTGTTTTTCGTTTATGCAATCCTGGTAGATCAAAGCAGTGAGTGAGTCTTTTACCTCTGCCAAATCCGAAATATCTGTTTGGCCGCACTTGTGATGTCTCCAAAATATGGTTCTGATACGAGAAACACAGATTCAGTTCACTTTTTGGCCTATATGTCGAAAGCTCATTCTGATGTGATGGATAAACATAAATCTGAATATAATTATCTATTCCTCCTGGCACCTAACACTGCACACTTCAATATTTGCTATGAAATGAAAAATGCGACGCTCAGATACACTTTGTACTGCTTGAAAAGTTCAGGTTAACAACATTTGAGTTTTTGAGGTCAAGTTCTACTCATCATTTCGAATAGTTGATAATAGGCATTGTAAAGCACCCCTTTTCTTGGGTTGGCCTATAAAGGGGTCTTCACAAAGTTACTGATTCACTAGGTTCGTGAATACTTAGGCAGGAGTAAGATTGGTGTATATAGACATTAATACGGCAGTTCAGAATATATAAATCTCTATTCAGCAATCATCATAATATGGACAGGCAGAGTTGACATGGAAGTAAAACAGATGTGCTTACATAATATTGGTTGGTTATACATGATGACAGGATGATGTACACTCGCACTATTATACCGGGTCACTTTGAAAAGTTAATACAGTTTTATGAAAGTTCAATAATTCTCGATACACATCTATTGCAGCAACACAATATGTTTACTAGGTACAGACTTTTAAGCAATTTCTAATATCAACTACATATCACGTATAACTAGACTGTTTAGCAGCGTTACTGGTTCAAGACATGAAATTTCGTATCAAGAGTTCGATTAAGACTGACTTTTATTCCAAAATTCCCTGCTTTTATACTGAGATTTGGTCATAAATTTAATCAGAATTCATTAGATTTTCGCTTAGTTGAATTGACCTCGGATTAAAGTGCAAAAAGAGAGGCTTCGGATGTTTTCAGAAATAGTTTTTAATCTAATGGAATTTTATCATTAATCATTTTGCAAAAATCGATGTCAGTTGACCTTGGGTATTACTTAAAATTAAGTACGGAAAAAGGATTTCAATGTTCATCTGAAAAGATTTTAAACTAATTGATTTTTGTAATAATTCATCTGGCCTCTACCTATCTTTGGCCCGCCCCTCTGCTGTGGCTCAGTTACTTAGGTTATAAATTCCCTGTACACTCTTTTCTAACTTTTATTCACATCTTTTTGCTGTTCCTGTTCGATTCTTCAAGTGTCACTATCAACAATGTTACAAAGGTAAAGTACCTAATAATAAACCTATTACATATATGCATTTCAAATATTCATATTTCCAACAAGAGTTAATTCACGTAATAATATTGCTCTATCAATCTATCCTTCTAATACTTATTGAATGCATTCGAGTTCAGATACCTAAATATTTATTGACCTAATTAAAACGACCTTCTACTTCCTATAATTGTAAAGTGTCTAGTATTAGTATTCGTTATGATATTTTTGGTCGAGTCTTCGCGTTCATTACAGCATAATCAAATATAAAATAAAGAATCTGATTGAATTGAAATCAATCAGTAGTCAGCTAAATTAATGGGAATATTGTCTTCTGTGAAAGACAATATGATATGCAGTATGTTTGATGTCTCAATACCATTGGTTCTCATTCTCATTTTCAAAGATGGTTCCAATGTTATCGTTATTAACTACGAAATAGCCACAATGCTCACAGTGGAATGAACATTTAGTTCTCGTTATTGTTTGTACATATAAAAATCATCATCTTATAATTTGATGTACGATTCTACTATACATATGGTGCAACCTCATTGTAATCAAAGAACTGAAGATTTCAACTAAACTTACGAATTATGCGTTCCCGAAACACTAAAACATTATGTTTATGCTTGCCGCTCGAGTCATAACACTTTTTGTTTCTCCGATTTCAGTTGATATGGGTGGAAACTCCGACGAATCCATCTTTGAAGGTGATCGATATCAGCGCTGTAGCGGCAGTGGCCAAAAAACACGGCATAATATTCGTCGTGGACAACACCTTCCTGACACCCTATTTGCAACGCCCTCTGGATCTGGGCGCCGATCTGGTCATGTACTCGCTGACCAAGTACATGAACGGCCATTCTGACGTCATCATGGGATCCATCGCCACCTCGGATAAAACGTTGTATGAACGGCTGAAGTTCCTGCAGAACGGTATGGTGTTTCTATCATTTGAATCGAGATGCATTTTTTTACTGATGATATGAAGTAGTATAGGTTCGAAACTTGCACCATTCATGATCTCGCTTCGCTCAAATGAACTACTAATCGCTTATATTAACTATGTGTGGAAAATACGCCAAACAATAAACGAAGAGGATAATGTATCTGCATCTCAGAGAGGCCAATATTGTTGCTACACATGTCAGCATTCCACAGTTGAATAGGTTGGGAATTTATATTTCTATAGCTCACTCAACTTCACTGAATAAATAATGAATATGTGAATTTTGAAGGTCAATAATAAGAGCACTGAGGACTGAGGTAGTTAATGATCTCATTTTCGAGAGGTTATTGCAAATGTCATGTAATGGTGTAGGGTATTCATAAAAACATGTCAAAGAATGATTTATATTGAAAACGCAAAACAGTACATTTGGAATATGTATGTACAGCAATCATTATCATCTATATACACAGAATTGAAAACACTCAAAGATCTTTTTCAGCTATGTTGTCCATGAAATCATTCAAAATGGGATTCTCTATTTGATATGAACACCTCATTTTCTTCTAGTCAATCCACTGCATCTTAGCAGTCTTCCTAACTATGAAAATAAATGTCCTTTCCAGTTCCTAAAGTACAATTTGTGCCTTGTTTTTCTGTTGTCAGCTGCATTTAGGCAGAAGTAAGTCAACTATCGCTAGCCGATGGTTCTAGCATGTAACAATTCTCGTTCTCAAACAACGAATCAATTAAATGTTGATTCAATCCTAAACACCATGTGTCTTGCTTGCTAATTCCTTTCGTTTCCAATCTTCTCTCTTCTGTGCACAATATCTGCACACTCTATATATTCACTATTTCCGTAATATTCTCTGAATGGTTCGTGCACGTGTTCGTGCCACGATATCGTTATGCTGTTAGATTGATGAGATGTTCATCACGTTGATTGGTCACACCTGGTCTACCTGATCCCCTACGTCGTATGTACTCACCAGTCTAACGAAACCGACTAATAGCATCTTATACAGTACTTTTTACTGTGCCTAAGTGTTCTGCAATATACCGTATACTACGACCATCATCATTCAAGGGAACAGCACGTGCGACATCCTCGGGTGTCATTTTCAACCCACAAAAAATATAAACAGATCATTATTGAATGGCAAATAATACTTTTAACGTTGCTAAAAATTTTAAAATGCCATACTTTCTCGAAACCCTGAAACCTTGAAAAGAAGATATTGACGTGAAACTGTTTATTTTTGGACTCGACAGTGTTCTCCCATAAAACATTCAACGATTTCGAGTCAATTTCTGCAAATTTTGAGCTATTTTTTTTTTCAGCGATGGGAATAGTGCCTTCGCCTATGGACTGCTACATGGTCAACAGGAGTCTGAAGACTTTGGCGCTGAGGATGCAGCAACATGAAAGTAGTGGAATGACCGTAGCCAAGTATTTGGACAATCATCCGAAAGTGGAAAAAGTCCTCCACCCAGGTAACTTACTAAAATGCTCAAGAAAGCGAGTGAACCACTTGCATTTTTGACCATGTTAAACTTTTTGAATAATAAATAATAAATTATAAGTTATTCCCTGTGAGAAACGATGGACTTTTACCAAATTTTACTTATACAGAGGTATGCACAAAAAACGGCTAGAGCTGTAACTTCTGAATCATTCGAGAACGAAATTTGAAATTTGGTGGGCAGCAACTTTACCATATTGTTCATTTATTGACGAAAAAAAATATTCCATCACTTCCGGTCTAACCGGAAGTGACCCCAACTTTTGATTTTCAAATGAAACCCCCTGTATATTTTTCCATTTTTAGATTCAGGGTATCATTTTACATACACCAGTAGTTATTCCGGATCATTTTGTGTGAAACAGAAAGAACAACAAAATGAACTCCACATCAATCTTTATTATTTTCAGTAGCATAGAAAGAGGGGCTATAAAAAATTAATTACAACAAATGCTCAAATTGACCCCCATTTTGTGCAATGCATTGCTGACACCTTCTAGCTACACTAAAAGTTGCGTTGTGTTGCTCGGGGTAACCTGCGGCAAGCCTCTAATATTCGATGCCTAAGGATTTCTATATTCTCTGGCTGAAATAGATAAACTTGATCCTTCAAGTAACCCCAAAGGGAGAAATCCATGACTGTCAAATCTGGACTGCGAGCTGGACACCGTATCGGTCCATTCGTTCCTATCCACCTTCCTCCAAAGTGTGTATTCAAATAAGTCACATTCAAACGCATATTGTGTGGCGGTGCTCCATCTTGTTGGAAAATGACTTCATAACGATTGGCGAGGGGACATATCATCAAGATTTCCGCACCATACATTCAAGCTACATCTTGTTTGGAAGATAGTTTCTACATTACAATGGGGATTTTCTTGTGACCAACATCTGTGATTTCGTCTATTGAAGATGCCATTTCGCCCGAATGTGCATTCATCCGACCACATTATTTTTCTATAAAATGCAGGATCTTGATTAAACCTATTCAAAAAAATATTGCAGAAATATGTCCTACGTTCTCTGTCATTATCGTGCGCCAAGGCGTGAATTTTGCGGGGAACGTATGGCGTGTACTTATGTTTTTTCAAAATAGAAAGAACTGTTCTTCGTGACGTACCAAAATGATTTGCAATCTTAATGTCCTGGGCGTATCTTGTACACTGAGTAAAACATTCAATTCCAAATCTGCATCAAACTCTCGCTGTTGTTTCTTTGGTTTTTTATTAAAGTGAATGTCAGTAATTTGTAATTTTGAATGATCCTTGATATTCCCTATTTTCAGAAAATATGGTATATTATGGATTATGTACCTGATGTCACATTCACATTCATAAGAAGTATAGGTACCTACCCAAATATTCAAAGATAGGTAGCTAATGGATAGCTACACCTATACCGGGTAATTAAAATTCGAGGGTCACCATTGTGATCTCGGACACTATAGGAGATACGAAGATGGTTAAATCAGGACAAAGTTGTGCATTTATGTGATCAAAAATATGCCGTCGAGAAAATTTCAGAATTTCGCCCATGAGAAAAAATGAAGTTAATGATGTTGGCGTAAAGAGGAAACGTCAGATAGTGAATTAGAAAATGTCATCGTATAGCAGAGAAATTGTGGCAATGTAAATGTGCTTCCAATTTTGATATTCTTCAACAAAAAACACCAGCAAAAATAAAATTGTATATTTCCGGAAATACTCGGAATTGAAAAAAAAAATCTCGACGGCATATTTTTAGTCACATGAATATCTTCAATAGTTATAGTTAGAAAAAAATATATTTTTCTTGTATATCTAATATTTTTCAAGTATCGAAAGGTACTCCACTGGCGGAACGAGACATATCACAGTATATCTCTTTTCCCTCGCTACTTGGTTTCAAATTTATATGAAAACAGAATAGAGGATTTCCAGTCAATCTTTGTTTATACGTCCATGCTATAGTCTGATCAAGCAAGGATAGCCTACCAGCAGTTTTTAAAATCCGGTTGATGCATGAGTGCCAAACCGTATAATCTTCCCTGTTTCATGTTTGATCGGGACGGGAAATGTTAGTAAAAGTTGGAGAAGTTGTTTATGTAAGGGAAAAATGTTGTATCACATTGCCTGATATATGGAATGGGTTGACCTTTCCACAGTAGTGTCGTTGGTTTCAAAGGTCTTGTGCCTCAATTCGATTTCGGCATTCAATTTCAATTTTTGTAGAATCTGTACTTTGACTGAGAATATCAGATATACTTTTTAACTTTGGAAATACTGCTGATAACGCAATATTAAAACTTAAGATTTTCATAAGATCAATATCAAACCTGTATTCCAAATCTTCTATAGAGAAGTCTGAGGTAGGGATATGGGATTGTTATTCGGTAATAATTTTTGATATTTCCTGTTTGGATATCCAGACGATGTATTTTTTTTCTCCCTACTGAACGAGGTTTAGATAAATTTATACAGGGTGTCCCGTAATCAGCCTGCCAAACTTCACCAGCAGTTTCTAAGACCAAAAATAAGAAGAAACGTTCCAATGAATATGAGTCGAAAAATGTCCCCTAAGGGTGCTACGACCCCCTGAGAGGGGGGGGCTCTTGAAATATGATATGTAGATTCGACAGTTGACAGTCATCATGTGTCTCAATCCAAATTTATCAGCAAATGTTTTATTATAAATTGAAGGAATTGTACTGAAGAGATTAGGAGCAGATTGCTTTAGTATTACCTAGGATCTACTTGTTCCGATGTATACGTCCCCCACACACAACACTAGAGCATCAACATCTTCTCAACAACAAAACAATGCGTTTCTCAAAAAACTAAAATATGTTGAATATCTTTCAGTTTGGTACTGCTACAATCATATTTATGTTATTGCAATTATGATTCCTTCATTCCGAACAGCCCCGGTCAACATTTTTAAACAATGTATTGATTTTCTGCAGTAGTGCACGTTTCCATTACATGATCATCGAAAGTGCTCCTGATGTTCCAATGCAAATGATGTAATTTCAATCATTTGGCACCACTACAACACTCAATATGGCTTCTCAATATGATTGTTGTGAAATAATGACAGTTGCCAAAAACTTGGACTGTATTTCATGATAGTATGTTTGATATGCTTGCAGATCATGGACTCCTATCCTTAGTTTTGTTTACCTTCCATTTAAATCCTAGTCATTTGATTGGTACTTGACATACAGGTGATAGAAGCTTATGATAAATAAAAATATGTATCTTTTTTCCATCAGGACTCCCAAGCCATCCTCAACATGAAGTCCACAAGAAGCAGACGAGTGGACACAGCGGTGTGTTTTCGTTCTACCTGAAAGGGGGCTTGAAGGAATCCCAAATATTTTTGTCGGCACTCGAAATATTCACTCTTGCCGAGAGCCTAGGAGGATATGAGAGCCTAGCAGAATTACCGTACGTATCAAAATTGGGTCTCGAATATTTGGTCACTCCTAGTAGGTGAGGTAGGATATTGTCTGTTTATTGAAAAAATATGTCAAAATCGCCCTTAGTGATAACACTCAGTGAGCCAGTGACCTCCATTTTGAACTAAGTTATTCATTTGTTATCCTAACCCTAAAAATGTTTCGTACTCCTATCCATATTCACCGTTCTGACAAGTTTTTGGAATAGAATTTCTCATTATGAAACATTTTGCATATGAACATACTCACACAAACAGTTTCATAACGAAAACAAAAACCATCGTTTATGCAATGATAAAATAGCTCAATTCATGTTATTTGAATTTGAGTAGGAACTGAAAACTCATCAGTGCTGTGATGAAACATTTAACATTTCTGTTTGCACTTCTGAGATGATGCATGCAAGCTAAGAATAGAACGAAACTGGTTATTCAACTTTATGTTGACTTTGTCGTCTCTCTAAAAATCACATCTACATAGGTATTTTGTCAACTGAGAAACGTGAATTATCAGGAGTAGAAACAATATTAGTGATCCAGTGGAAGGAATCATATTAACGAAATAATAGATGGTTTTAACATTGAGGAAAAATATGCCAGCAAGATCAGAACTATTAAAACAAAATGGATAACTTGATGAAGATGGTGTAGAACTTGACACTCAAGACGTTCAGCGCCATGTGTATCTTTTTCGTTTCACACTGTCCTATCTAATGTGTATCAGAAAAGATACACGAAGTTTATATCGCTCGCATTCTTGCCGTGTGTTCAGTAGGGCGACAATTAAGTTCTGGCCAACACGGAAGTATGTGTATATATGGGTTAGGTTATAGATGTTTATACTATATCAATATCATCGAAAATATACGAAGGTATAGTAAAACAAAGTATCCACTGTGAAATGTAATGAAATGACTGATTTACGGCACAAAAATGTTTTGCAAACAGAACATTTGGTTATAACTTGGGAGGCTATAACAAGTTTTTCTTCAATATGTTCCCCTTTTCTCTCATACTTCTTTAACATTATGGACATCGTCCACGTACATTTCTTCCCTCCACTTGATTATTTATAAGATGATGTTTCTTCTTCATATTCCTGCATTCAGCTTCCGTCGTAGCACTTCGTTCAAGTTCAGAAACATATAAAAAATTACAGTGTGTTGATCCACCACTGTATAAGGGAGATGCTGTCAGATTATATACCGAGCGGCTGATATGTTTGTTTATACAGGGTGTAGATCTACAGCAGATATTAAATTGTATGGGTTCGGACTATGATGGTGGCAGAATGCAGGAGAAAAACAAATAAATAGGTAATAAACTATAATCAAAGAAATAAACTACATTTACGATCACAATCCTAACGAATTCTAATATTCAGAAAATTCAAACTTCTGATGTTTATTTACTTATATCTCAAAGTTATAAAAATATCTAAAAACTCAAATAATCACTCTTTAAATTCATCAAATCAAAAATAATCAATATAAAATGAATAATCGTGAACCAGTATTATTTTCCTGCAATGAAAAATCTCAACTCAACGTTAATATTCTATAAAACACCAAATAAACTTCCCTATATAAATTTTTTCAAAGAATACACCCATATATATATATCAGAACTCAACCTTACTTCTACTGTCCCATATACTAATAGCTAAGACTTCTCTAATCATCCCTTATTTCAATACCTCTCATCAAGTTAGAAACTCATTCCACTTATTAACAGGCAATCAAAAACATACATAATCAGTGTTTGCAAAAATCCCTTATACGTCCAACTTATGAAACAGAATCCTAACCCTTGACACTAATAGGTTGACTGACTAGTTTCTTTAAAACTGTCCATTATATTATCGTTAGAAAGTTATGTTGAATGTCAAAAGCACTTTCAGTTCTATATAAGCTGTTGAATGTAACTTGCTTGTGAGTAGAAAGAATTGTCATTATCTCTTTCTCACTTGCACTGATTCTAATAGCCACTAGGTAAGTACTTCTATGCACTTCGCGATCTATTCTGATTCTATTGGAGCTACATCTTTACTAGTCGAGTCTCGAGAGTTAATGATCCCCATTTTTACAATTGAAGTGTTATAGGCAAAAACAACAAAGCAATTTACGTCATTCTTGTTTTTTGGTTTCAGTTTACCCATGGAAGTGATTTTATAGATTCATATGGCAATAACAATTTATATCATATTAGTTTGTCGGTCGATCTCAAGTAGCACATTCTTGGAGATCCTAATCTCAAGGTTGACCTAGAGCCATCAAAATAAATATGAAGTATCTCAAATTTGCCGACAAACGATGTTAACTAAACTGGTATGAATTCCATTTTCAATATTTCAATATCTTACTTCGACAGTATTTCGCAGGGCATAACAACAGAAAAAAATCGAAAATAATGTTTTTATACTCAGACTAACACCAGAGCCATAGTAGTTTGAGGTTATAAAATTCTCGATATTTCTCTTCGACAAATTGTGCACATTTCCTTATGTGGCCCATAATGGGTACTTTGCCCAGTAAAGCTTCTGTTGAAGGCAGTGTTGGTACTATTTTCCCTGGTTGATGCATTATCAATGAACTCTGAAACTTGAGGGCTACCGGGTTTCTGACTATCACATGAAAATTCCGCGTTAGTACTAATGTTGAAATCAACTTTTTAGTTTAATGGAACACTTCTGGAAATAGGTTCTGCAGAAGTGCAAATTTTTTGTAATGTCTTGGCCACCATGTTCTCGAATGGAGTTATTTCATATTAAATTATCGTGACATAATCTAATAGGGAAGAAAATTCAATAACTTACACGTAGAGCAAACATCTACTTATAGACGTCTGAAGGATAAATTGAAGTTTCCCGAAAAAAGTTTGTACAATGAGAATAACTACTTTATATTAGAGCACTTTTCTTCGAACAATTCTTATATCGTTTCGATATTCAGCTGGCTGTTGAGATTTTCAATCACATGGTTAGAATGTGACTTGATTTAACTGTAAAGTACCAAGTACTCAATATGTTGTCGAACGGTTCAATGGTTGTCGTTTGAAAATATATTCGAGCTGGGATTCTTCTGATGCGAGTAGGTGATTTACCTGATGTAGTAAGATTGTCTATTCTCCTATGACGCTTTTCATAACATGCATATATCGATCTGAAATCTTCAACATACTTCAGTCTTGATTTTTCCTTTCATTGCATAATATCTCAATACATTGCACTCTCATTTTTTGAGCTACTCGCGGACGACAATCTCATTCAACAAATAAAATAAATTGTAGCATCTTCATGTCAGTATTCCCACCTTCATTTTCTACGCCTATATTTTACATTTTATGGAGATAGTGATATGCCCTTACTACATATTAAAAGACTGGCTTTTCATAATAATCCTATGTTTCATTGAAATCAACATGTGACTTTCTGCCTATACTAATTCAATTGGTCTTCAAAGCTGGAGTTAGATTCATTTGAAATATCTGAAAAAATCGACGTTGAAATATATCTACCCAAGAAATATTACAATAGGCAAGTCAATTTTATTCAAATTGATCCTATATCTCTGCATGGACGTACTTTTCGTGCTCAATTCTTTTCATGTGAGGGCTTCGAATCCTTGCTCAAGTGTTTCTTTGCACACAAATCAAGTATTTCATCGATTTTACTTGAAGAGCAACGGAAAAGAATTTCAATTTATCCAGGAAAAAATACAACAAATACATCTTTAACATGATCAAGTCTGTGTTCTATCATGAACATGCTCACTTTCTGAGCACACTCCTATGAGAGTGTATACTGTTCTGAAAATCAAACCATACAGGATTCAAGTTTTCAAAAAATGTTCAGTTTTCAGCCATTCAGAAGGACAATTTTACACAATTATGTTTGCTAAAAAAAAAAATTATTCAATGAAACAATGGACGTAGCAGCGTAGGAAGAGTAGAAAGAAACTGAAAAATACTTCCTGGATTTCGCATTCGCTAGTTTGTTCATTTGCTAGGTGATAGATAAGTGGAAAAAAGAATCGATTTGCTTCAAACAATTTTTGTGCGACAATGCTGAATTGGGTCGGAGCGGTTCTGAAATTCCACTGTAGATCCAGAGATCGCCCTCTGTGTGAAAAAGAGGGTAGGCAAATCATTAGCTGTAGGTAGCGGTGGTATTCCCTTCACTTCGGGTCGCTCTGTGTCTGTTTCGAGTTGGTTTTTTGTCTACGGCAGTCGTTTAGCTGATCGTTCGTGTAATATAAACATAGTTAAAGAGTCCCAACAAGATAAAAACTTATGCCATTAAAATCCTTTGATACGGTGTATAGCTTTCGCGTTCAAAAATGTTTCCTACAGAAATTTCATGATTCTAAAACAGAAATATACTCCGCTGAGGCCACTGTTTTTTTTTTTTTTTGTTATCCACCCTAGTATCGGCATGTTTTCGTATTATAATATTACTTCAGGCATCTCTTTCCATTCCAAATATCATTTCATCCTGGGCTTTTCCTATTTCAGAATCCGTGGAGATATTCCCCCTGACCCTATCTATTAGTGGTTCAAATTTGTAAGCTTTTTCTTCTCCTACTCTCAACCTGATAGTAGTTATACCAATGATAGGTTTTGGATCTAATCCTACTCACTTTGACTCTAAATATAATAAGGGTGGAGTGATTGAATTGCATTCGGTCTTTTGTTATATTCTGGTGATAGGTGACATAGGTGACTGTCTACATTGCGTTCGGGGCTCTTAGGGCTAAAATTAATCGATTTTTCAATATTTCTCTATGTAGGTACCTTCGGTAAACGGTTTGTGTATATATTTCATGTAGATTCCTCTTTAGAGATTGTTCTACATAAAATAACTTCGTATTGACATAAGTTTTGAGTCCGACCACGTTAACTTCGGGACACCATGTCTCCCTTACAATACCCGTCTTGGGTCACTTAGCCTGCTAGTATTATGGATGCAGTTACAAAAGAATTTCGCTCCAAC